AAAAAAAAAAAAACCTCCGGCGAGAACTCCGGTGAGAGAGAGGAGAGAGAAAAGGAGAGAGAAAAAACCATGCACGGTGGGGAGTAATTTTTCTCACATTTATTTCTTTTCCCCTAAAAATTATCAATCCGATTCTTTTTCCCCAAAATTTTCGAAAAGAATTATGAGTCGATTAGGGTTTAAATCCGTGGTTTATCATGGTGATGTTTATCTCGGGGAGCTGGAAACAGTTCCGGTGAACGGTGTTAATTTCCAGTTTCCCAACAATGAGATTCGGATTCGCCACATAGCCCCAATCAGCGAGAGGTGCCATCCTTTGTCTGTGCTCCAGACGATCTCACATGCCTCCGTTCGCTGCAAGCTGGAGCCCGGCTCTAATGGCAGCTCCAATCCTGGTGGCGAACAGTCGCTGCTCACCAATCTCCACGCAACTTGCTTCTATGAGCTGAAGGTTTTTGCATTTTGTTTTCATTCTTTTTGTCAGCATCACATTTTGCACATTATATATGTTCTCAATATGCATTAGCTGCAATGTGTTCGAGGATGATGCTGGGATTGATAGTTCATTGGATTTGGCTTGCTGTTTTGACTGTTAGTCGGTTGAACGTACGGATATGATGATGTTTTTCGGTGCTGAGGTTCTTTTTGTCCACACTTTTAGGCTCACTCACTCAGTTATGAATAATTATCCATTTGGAATGTGTTGGTTAGTTGGTATGCCGGTGAATATAAACTTACGTGGCTCGTACATTTTGTTTACTGTGTTTATCTTTGTGTAGACGGCTGTTGTGTTGCTCGGTAATGAGGAGGTTCATTTGGTGGCCATGCCTAGCAAGCAGAAGAGATTTCCGTGCTTTTGGTGTTATTCTGTGCCATGTGGTTTATACAGTTCATGTTTATGGATGTTGAACACGCGGTGTTTGGCAATTGTGTTCGATCTTGATGAGACTCTGATTGTTGCTAACACAATGAAGTCGTTTGAAGATAGAATAGAGGCTTTAATGGGTTGGATAGCACGTGAGACTGACCCTATCCGGGAGTCTGGGATGACAGCAGAGATGAAGCGATATGTTGAGGACCGGGCATTATTGAAGCAGTATGCAGAGACCAACTCTGTTGTGGATGGTGGTAAAGTGTATAAAGTTCAGCAGGAGGAAGTTCCTATGCTATCTGATGGGAATTACCGTGTTTTTCGGCCTGTAGTCAGATTGCCTGAGAAAAATATTGTTCTTACGCGTATTAACCCTGAGGTTAGATGACATTTGAGGAAGCTATTTTATTTGCCTCTCATTTACTTATATTTTGGTGTTATGAGTTCATGCCTTTTCTTGTTCAAATGGTAGGGCATGGTTAAGGGTGGGAGTTGTAGATACTAACTGCAGATAAAATGAATGTGCAAACTGTGTTTCCTGTTCTAGTTGTAAAGCATTATTGCATTTATTTGGTTAATATAATGCATTCAAATGCCATTGGACCTATGTCCAACTTTTATGCGACTTAGGTTATTGTAAATGAAGTCTGCTAATCACGGCGTTTGTCTTTCACTGGCTAGTTTCATTAGTTTAATTACTTTCTTATTCTGACATTTATTTGTACAGAATCGTGATACCAGTGTGTTAGTGAGGTTACGACCTGCTTGGGAAGATTTGAAAAATTACCTAACCGCGAAAGGCAGGAAGAGATTTGAAGTATTTGTTTGTACCATGGCTGAAAGAGATTATGCACTAGAAATGTGGAGGCTGCTTGATCCAGAGGCACACTTGATTAGCTCCAAGCAACTTCTGGACCGTGTTGTTTGTGTCAAACCAGGTAAAGTGCATGTCCTTGTTGGTATAGTATTTTTAATGTGTATGTCTTAACTCATATGCAACATTTGATCTTTATCTATGCGGCATGCACTTTTCAATCGGGAACAATTTGTTAATGAATTTCATCACTGATCTTGACTCATCTACATGTTTCTACGCCTACTACTTAAATTATGATGAATTTGAGTTTCATGCCTTTTCATAGTCGTTTTAATTGAACTTTTTGTGGGTGTTCTCTGTTAGGGGCCAGGAAATCATTGCTCAATGTCTTCCAGAATGGCAATTGTCATCCGAAAATGGCAATGGTGATAGATGATCGCTTAAAGGTTTGGGAAGACAAAGATCAGCCTCGTGTTCACGTAGTTCCAGCATTCACTCCATATTATGCCCCTCAGGCTGAGGTATTGTAGTTTTCAGTTTGTGGATGCTTATAATAACTCAACATGTTCTGTAACTGAACCTCTATTTTCACACATAGAATGCAAATGCTGTACCTGTCCTTTGTGTGGCGAGAAATGTGGCATGCAACGTCAGAGGAGGTTTCTTCAAGTAAGCTGAATTACTATTGTTGATAGAGTCGGGTTTTGAGATTGGAATAAATACGAAATTACAATCACAAAAGACATAAAAAGTATAAGTTAATCAAACAAACCCTTCTGACCATCTCCACTGGTAGCAATAGTACTCTCTTATGCAATATCCTATCCCAAAATGGTAATCATAACCCTAAGAGCCTAATTCCAATTATTTAAATAACTAAAATAAAAAGATGAAGAATCAAGAGACTGATTTCTAAGAATTGTTCTGTTAAAATTCTGGTAGGTTTATATGTTGGTTTTTTCCACTCAGTATTCTTCTGCATTTATGTCCTATTGGCATTCAAATTGTTTATTCTGTGACAATCAGAGAGTTCGATGAAAATCTACTGCGAAAAATACCAGAAATTTACTACGAAGATGAAATTGTGAACTTACCTTGTGCACCAGATGTGAGCAATTTCTTGATATCAGAGGTAAACAACTGGAAATTCTGTCCCCACTCTACTGTGAGAACTCAAAATTAATACTAAAATGAAACTTCTTTAGGATGCTAGTTTTGTGCCAAACGGAAATCCTAATGTCCCAATTGCTGAGGGAGTTAATGGACCTGAAGTTGCACAAAGACTGGTAGTTTCTCATTCCTGTTCATTATATATTTTCAATAGTTCATCTGCACAATGGAAAGCATGAAAGACCCATATGGTTTGTGCTTAGTTTGTGATCATCCATGGATTTCCAGGAAGAGAAGAATGTCACAAATCCTGCTGCTTCTCACCCAATGGTTAATAACTTTGAGTTAAAATCCAAAAGCTTCAAGCCCCCTGTGGTACCTGTTGCAAATGTTACTGCTTCTGCAGCCACTAGAGTACCCTTGCCTTCTGAAAGTATGAAATGTATTTGTACCTGGTTCTGCAAAATTTAATACATTTCATTTTTTCCCTGGATTTTTTAGTTTTGATTTAGATTTCTTTATTTTTGCCAAACTATTTTGCAGAACCTAGTTTGCTTGGTGATCCATCTCGAAGAGATTCCAGGCTTTCAGCTTCAACCGAGCCACCTCTGTTATCTAGATCGACTTGGCAGGCACCTCACCTGCAACCTCAAGGAGGCTGGTTAGTGGAAGATGACCCTAATAAAGGAAGCTTCAACGGACGAAGCCCGGGAATCATTCCGGAAAGCGATCCCTTCGATAGACAACGGGTTCGTCAGAATTCACTCGGTCATGGTGCATCATCTACAGTTCCAGAAGAAGCACCAAATGCATCTCTAGTAAATAATGAAGAGGTTGCAGAAGTGCAATTTTTCTAGTTTATGTAATGATTATTAACATTGAATTGTGTCCTCTTAACAATTTTTTGCTGGTTGAATTTCACTTTAATGCAGACCAACTCCCGGAATGACCATCAGAAGCAGAGTCCTTTGACAGGTATAGAAACTCCGATTTTTGCATGTTTCCCTTGTTTTTGTTGTCCTGGGCTGTCTAACATGTCATCCTTTCATGATAAAGAACTCAGGTCTGAAGGTGATAAGACAAATCTGTTGCCATCTTTGTCCATCAGCGTGCTCCAAGAGATTGGGAGGAGATGTAGGTCAAAGGTAAATCCTAAATATTTTGGCAACTAATTTTTGTGACGATCCTATTCTGTTTTCCCTCTTGGTTTTATCTTTTGCTTGTTGCTACTCAGGTTGAATTTAGGCCTGTTGTTGGTACCAGTGATGATTTGCAGTTCTCAATGGAGGTTGGTATCATGAACTTTATATAACATTACTTTCTAGCATTTAGTACCATGAGCTATTTATAACATTAGTTTTTAGCATATGGTCTGTGTAAAATTCCAGTAGTGCAGTTTTTACGTAAGCAGTTGAGCTGAGAATAATGGAATACTGCTGATTTTCATGTTCATGCATATAAGTAACGTTTGGGTGTTCAGTTATTGCTGTTGATGCTAAGAGGTTTTGGAAAATACCTTTGTGGGTTATTTACTCCATTTAAAATATTTAAGCAGTTATGATGAGTTTAACTCCAGATTTATGTTAATGACTGTAATTGCATAGAATAAATTGATTGCAAATAGGTTGACCTTGGGACAAACTCTCATTTTTTTTGGTCAGTATGTCTCCATTTTCACCTCACAGAGTAGCTAGTACATATATATAGCAATTCAAAAGCTGTGCCTGCCTTTTGAAATACTTGAATTAACACAAAACATGACATGCCACTTTGGTATTTATAGTTGTTTGATTTTTGTGGATTATCTGACGATCAGCTCAATCAATGTGTAGGTCTTCTTTACTGGTGAAAAAATTGGTACAGGAATGGGAAAGACAAGAAAAGATGCCCAGCAGCAGGCTGCAGAGAATGCACTTCGATTCTTGGCAGGTAAGGCATGCGTTTCATTTTTATTTTATTTGAAGAATATAAGTAGACTCTCATACATGAGGCCCTCACTTTCTAGCTTTATATTATATGACTTGGACTGCTACGATTTTGGCAGGTAATGCTTGTGTGATTTGTGTTATATTTTTCTTTTTTTTTTTTGTCTGTGAATTCATGGAAATCTCTCCACAGTTTTATCCCTTCAAAATCTGCTCGACTTCAAATTAGTTGCTCATGAAATGTCAAGAAATATTCATTATATTTTTTCAGCTCACCTATACTGTGATTGCCTGCAACGAAATTACTTCACTACAACGTACTTTTGACTCTTTTTGTTACTGCAGGTGATTATCTCTCTTATGTTACACCTCATTCCAGAGCAATGGATAATAATAACTATGATAAAAGCTTTCTGGAGAAAGATAATGGGTTTCTATGGGACAATATCAAGCCTGGATCAGAAGAACCACTAGTTAGTAATGGATATTCCAAACAAAGTACTTCAGAAGTGGGGACTTTCGACAAGACATCCCGTATTTGATAAGGTTTATGACTCGATATACTGTATTGCAATGAATCACCATCTGCAAATTTTCGTGCTTGTGGTGGAAGTTGGAGCTCGGTGGCCTTGTTGATCGATCATCTTCAGCATCCTTGGTTTTGAAGATTCTCTTTCGGAGGTAACAGCATCAATCCCCTCAAATGGAAAAAAGAACATAGAAAACTGGAAAAGCCTGATAAAAACTGAAAAAAAAAAAGACAGAACACTTGGAAAATAACTCAAAGCTTTTGGTCAGTATCTACAAGTTTTTTGCCAGTTTCAAAATGTTACTTTAGGAAGTTTTTTACCATATACTTTTATGCAAATTCGTAGCAGTACTTTTTTTTTTCTTGTACTCGAATTCGACGTTGATATCATACAAAATCTTGACAGGTAGCTGATCTGGGACCTACACAGCCCTTCCTCTAATCAAGTGAAACAATCTAAGTGCGGGAAAAATATCTGATTTGAAATGCCACAGTGGATTGAATTAAAAGATCCACTCATTTCATTTGGAAAAAGTTTAAAGGCCATATCAATGTAAAAACCGTAATTGCTTGATGTGGCCTAAAGGAGCTTTGATTCACCTATAACCAAAATCGAGACTTCTTTTTCCTTTATGTCAGATATATATACGAGGAATTGTGACACACCTCAATAGGAACCGGTATTTTAGTACTGTATATAAGCTATAATTCTGACCACATCTGAGAAAAAAAAAAAAAAAAAAAAAAAAAAAAAAAAAAAGACAAAAAAAGACCCGACTCAAAGGAGATCTTCTCATTTTTAATCATGATCTGTAAATCTGTGGTGGGATTATGTTTCATTTAGAGATTCTTCCTTGTTCAGTGTTGTGACAGTTTTGTCTTAAATTTTGAATTTTCTGTATATATTTTACTTGATGTTAAAATTTTAATCAGTTTCCTATTATGTTAGGCAGTTAGTTAGCCCACGTTGAACTGTGAAATGGCTCGATTCTCATTTGGTTCCTCAAAGTTAATTTCTTCAACTTTGGTTAGCTGACACAGGTTCTCAATATTTGTTCTATTTAGGCAACAGCCAAGAAATTTGTTGAAGTCCAAATGGCTCTGTAAAGTTAAATTAAAAGGCCAATTGTGTTTTATATAGACACCTTCATTGAGCCTGACTGTTTAATCACAAATTTTCTTATTATACTTAAAAATGATAAAGTCGTCATACTTTTTAATAAATATTTTTTTTTTAATTTTTTTTCTTAAATTATGTCGCTTGTAAATAGAATTATGTATATTTCTTAAACTAGCCTAAGGAATGAAATTATATCAAAGGCTAGCCTAGACATAATGACCGTCTCGATATGGGAAGGTGCGATGCTGCCCCTAAGGGCAGTGTATTCATGCCCTTAGGACCCTTGATCCATACACATACACACATCCACATGGGTGTGTTTATAATCGAAGGGTCTTTAGGAGCATGACTACACTGTCCCTAGAAGTAGCACCGAATTTTCCAAAGAACATCTAGTAGTCCTCAAAAAGAAGCAACTTTTTTCTTGTTTTTAATTGATAATTATTTTGACACCATATGAGCCCATGCTAAGGAAGGGAAATGAAGGAGCCTGGCCCCCACCATATATAGAAATTAGACTCAATTTTCAATCACAATAATAGCTATTATCTCAATGTAATTATTACAGGTGGATTTTATTTTATTTTTATAGTTGTAGTAAACTAGTAATTGCATATTTACACAAACACTTGCATCAATTAGATAACATGGTACTTGTACAATAAACCTTGTTAACTTCGATCTTTAACTATGAGGTTGACTCAAGTGGTAAGCAGCTTGATGCCATCTAAGCAAGATCGTGCGACCCGAGTTGACCAACAGATTAGTCGGGGCATATCTCCAGATACCGTGGTTGGTTAAAAAAAAAAAAAAAAAAACTCACCCACCATTGTCAGGTGTGCGACTCGAATCGACCAACAGATTAATAGAGGCATAGCTCCAAATATCGTGGCTGACTACCAAAAAAAATTAACTTCGATCTTTAACTACTTTTCTTACCAGTCACGTTACAACACCAACGTTACAGCACCAAATTGATTTACAGATTCAATTTATAATTGCTATAATATTTCAAAAATCAACCGTCCATATATTGTCAACACATAATTTGATAACTCAGGTTAGTAAACTAATGGATATTAACAACTCTTTCCCTCAATATTTTTTTTGCTCCCTTTCTTCACTACTTATATATAGACTAATTCATATGTCAAATATACATTTCACAATTCTTACAAATTTTTTTTTTTTTTTNTTTAGTACAGGGGCCTTCTGGTTTTCGGATCCACAGGAGAACCGACTAATCCGGAATCGAGCCGGGTAGGACCACAAGGGCGGCAAAGCTCTCCCTCAAGAGTTTTAACACTGCTGCATTCCCAGTTTTTTT